CTAGGTGTGAAGAAGAGCCATTCATGTCTTACCCGGTTGTATTAGCGCTCCTAGTTTAGGCAGCCAAAGGAGGTGCGATAGACTGCGCCGTACCGGAGTAGACCGGGCTGACGAGAGAGTGCAGCCAAGGATTCTTTGTATCCAGCACTGCAGTGGAAGTGTCTTTCCACTTTCAAGGATCTGGCGAGATTCTCGGGCTGTTTTAGGTGTTGATGACCATGACTGACTGCAGACAATCCTGCAGGTAAGACATTAGAAAGCTGTACGATATCATAGAACTAACCGGTTTCTAGCACGACGCAAGCGTGCTTGTAAGAGCTGTAGGTAAGCGGGAATTAGGGTCTTATGGCTTCTTGTTCTAAATAAAATGCTGTGAACAGGATTCTCTAATATGCAACAGAGCGAGACCTTCGTGTGGAGCTTGTAACACACGAGGTATCACATGCGAGTATTCCTGGGAGAGTTTGGGAGTCGCCCCTCAATCGGGGCAGAGATTCGAGAAAGAGCGAGAGGAGACATCCGATGCAATTTCTCAGTGTCCTGCACCAATACCCGATATAGGTTTCGTCGCAATTCCACAGGGATCACGAAACACGAGTCTCCTCACAAGGCCAGAGGCATCCAATATCTCACAGACTTCAAGACAGCCACTAAACAGCGTGGAAGGTCCACTCTGGGCCAAAGCACTATTCCAGGCTTGCCGTCAAGTTGATACTAGCCTTAAGCAACTCAATAAACGCTTGATTCAGGTGGATAGGAGAAGACTTTCGTACTCGGACATTTTCTCTGAGTGCTTGCAATCACCACTCCTCGACCCAGAGCTGTACAAAAAGCTCGAAGAGGCTCGTAACGTTGAAGCGGTCGCGATCACGAACGCAGAACAAATATAGCCGACGCTATGCCACCTCTCAGTGAGATCATTCAGAGACTCAATGATCTTTGTAGCAAGCTGTACAAACAACCGAAATAAGAGCATTATTTCTTTATTTTCTAAATTACTCTGTATATATGGAAGCCCCCACATATCTTTACTTAGGCTTTCTCATTTTGTACTTGTCTTGTTGAGGTTCGTTTGACGCAACGATCTTGTATGTAATTAGTGTTTTCCACACTGCTTCACTCGTTCACCATCCTTCCTTCTAGGGATAGAAGAATGCCTTCGGCAGCAATGGCTAAACCAAGAACGACAATGAACGCATTGGTCCATTTATTGCAGCCTTTACTACCATTCAGCATGTTTTGCAGACGTCATAGTAGCATCTTCATCATTCTTCTCTGTAATCGTGCGTAGATATGTTTGATTTGCCGGTTCGCCAGACGCGGCGAAGTCTTGTCGCCGTAGCGATCTGGTCTATAGTTTGATAGCTTTGAGAGGATGTCAATTTTGTGTGTGTGCAACAATATAACTGGTGATTATGAAGTAGTAAACTTCCGTCAGTAATTTCTCCTTCATGGTATTAGCAAGGTGTCCAACGACCTCGTCACGGGCATGTGCGCTCATACCTGTTCGGTTCACTGAGCAGGGTCGATGTTGACTAGACACTCGAACATCTGTTTCGCGAATTCTTCTACACGGATGTTTTGGCCCGTTTTTGCATCCTTGAAGTATTGGAATTGCCGTAACAATTCAGGATTCCTCGGCTTGAATTCATAAACGTCAACTTCAAGCCAGGGCAAGCCCCATCCTGGCGTCAATTGGATCTTGATCATAGACTTTCCCCAATCATGGACATTCGTTTCGCACAGTTCGATTAACGTCTTTTTCCTGTGGAGGTCGGAAATCCAGGCTATAATCTATTAGCACTGTTCAATACTCATGTTCGGAACATACTTGGTAGGAGAAAAATCATAAGATCAGGAAGTGTATCACGACAGCAGCCTAGTTTCCAATCATCACCTGGATTTTGTGATCGATTTACGTAACGGCGACAGATTTCGCCTGGGTCGCACTAGAATGGTCAGTCGAGCTATGGCTCTGGAAAAGTGGACTGCTCCTACTTCATCTGTCTGAATCATGCAGGGCCAACCGACAGGTGCTTTCCGGTCTGTAACGAAATTATCCTTCGAGGCGGAGCTAGCCCCTTGCCATGTAGGACCCGGATTCGAGAACGACAATGGTAGAGGAGGCATAAGCCTAATAATAGTGATGTATAGCCTCGAAAACAGTCCGCAAAAAGGTCTCGAAATTTATAGTGCATAATCTATCACGGGTCTAGCTAGGTATATTATATACTACCTTCTCTAAGTCTCTGCTTATAGCTCTATTCATTAATTCTTCTAAAAAATAATAAGTTAGAAAGATAGAAAGCGTCTATAGCTATAATCTGATACTAATCTCCATTATATACTAGAGGTTTAGAAAAGAGATCTAAGAAAATAGGATCGTGTCTCTGTGTAGTGGCAGCATTGCTACTGGATTACCCTCCACGGCAGGCGCCTAAAGATGACTTCGGAGAGAGCAAGATATTAGACACGACTTGTGAATTGGGTTGGAGGAGGGATGGACGAAGTGAGAAATGTGCCTCTGTTTGGTACTTTTGATCATGAATAGCGAGGGCAGCACTTTACGGTTCTTTCTCCAAAGGCGTACGTACCATGACCATAATTGAAAGTTAAGCATGAGAAACAATACAACGTCATCACCGTAGATATGTGGACAGACATCACCATGTACCTGCTTGCTGACGGACATCAGTTTGCTTGTAGGTCCAGGTCCCCTTTGCCATCAGACGGCCTGACGCCCCTGAGACCGTACTGTCGATTTGTGGTTTTGGTTGCTTCTCATGATTAGATGGAGACATGAGGGTAATAATGTAGGACAATTTCACGTGCTGTGAGGAGCTTCATAACGAAGGGAGAATGAGTGTGATGAAAGGTAGTTTTACGATGCTGGGGGGCTTTGTAGCCAAGCATGGTGCCAACCTCGAGGGGGGCGACTCCGTTCACCAGCTGGAAAGCGTTTCACAACCCCAGTGGAATGCTCTAGCAGAGAACGACACCCCCAGCCTACCCGCAGAGACTGCTTTTCCCGTTTGGGGGACGCAGAAACGACACTCTGGACCTTGATTAGTCCGTTTTCAAATGGCATGGGTCGACCAGGCATGCCTGAGAGCAAGGGGGCTTCGAGCGCCGCATAAGGTGCCATTGTCTTGCCGCACCACCTCATACAGTCCCTCAGTACAGACTTCGATTCCAACGCAAGCGTCCAAGAAGAGACCCACTCGTTACACCTTGTCAGTTGGCTATGCTTCACCAGCACCACTGAAATCGAGTCTCACCAGAGGAAGGCGGAGTGGATACCATATCGTGACGGCTGATAGGTACGCTGCCGTATATGCGAGCGGACAGTCCGCACATTCCGCCCTTGCTGAAGGCTCGCCATCCATGAATCAGTCTCCGGAAGGGCCACGCTACACCCTTCCCCTGCCACTACTGGCGTCTTCGGTACCAGTATTCCCGACCACACAGAACCAGGCTCTAGCCTGAATTACAGCCCCACTTCTTCAGTCGCTTGTCTCAGGGTTAGTGTGACGGTATCATGATGTTCCTTGGTAACCAGAACGGTCCGATCTGTAGCGCCGGGCACATCTGTGCGTGCATGTGTAGTAGGCCAATAGTGCGTCGATTGTTCTGAGTCTCCGACGACTGAGCTCACGATGGTCCCATGTCAGGTGGCAAGAACCTTAGGCCCACAGAGATCTCACTTCATACCGGACATAGACACTCTGTAGTGCTCAGTGGGCGATCAGGGCTGGAACTCCATTTCGTTGTGCAGGGATATCCGGAAGGATGCGATTTGCCAGAGTGAAGCTGCTCTTAGCATGGACATAGACTGCAGTGATACTGATCGTTCACCAGACTGGACACACAGACTCCGTAGCCACAATCGTTGGTGGCAGGTACCATTGCAACCATTGCGTTGATTACTGCTTTAGCCCAGTCATTGGTGGAAGTTCTTTGATGCTTTTGCCGTGACTGCTATTCAACAACAACTTCCTACATCTTTTGTTCCGGTAGACTAAATACGTCTGCAAGCCTGATAGGTATTTGTGGCATAAAGTTGTCCTCATGACGATGCGTTCTACCATATACCGTACGGACCAGTGATGCTATTCGACTCGAGTCTTGGAAATCCAAGTCCCACGACTGTTATCCGGCTTCACGTTAGTTAATTTTCGGTATCAAAGATGTCCCAATATCCAGAGGCTCCGAATCCCAATCAGGCCCATTACACGCCTATATATCCTGACATCGAGCCTTCACTCGCCGACCCGTCCTTGCAATCGAACTACACGAACACAACTCTCCTATCGAGCAAGCCGCGCAACAAGCCGCTCAAGCACAACAGACGGCCCAGCAAGCTCAACAGCAAGCTGGACTCAACATCAGCAGCATCATTATGACGGACAGGCGCCCCAGAAATCCAATCGACTGCGCAAAGCATGCGATTCCTGTAGCATTCGAATGGTGAAGGTAAGCTTGTAGTCGATGACGGTTGCAAAAATATGAAATGGTGTAAGGAGTCATGAGTGTATTGGTAGTTCCACAAGGTAGCACTTACGGCATGATTAGACTAAAGGAGGAAAAGGAAAAGCTGCGTTGTATTGAGGCGGTGGAAGCTCTTCAGCCGGGGTAAAGCCACTCTTGGCAGCAATCTGTTGCCAAGAGCGTCTTTACCCCGGCCTAGCGTGTCTATACTAGTGCAGGATCATATTGCACTACACCATATATAGCTTTGATAATCCTTTTCGAGTTAGTCGCAGAGAGCATGACCGCTCCTCCGAAGCAGCACATATACGCGTAACTGCCTTCGTGCTATCCGTACTGCGGATAAATACTCGTGATGTGTACATGATGAATAACAAAGTATGTACAGCAATGGGGCCAAGGAAGGTGGTAAGGAGGGCAAGGTTCCTATAGAGCCAATCAACGGTGTAGAAGACGTTAAGATGACTTCACATTTCTTAGTGGCTAAATATTTCTAGCGCGGAGTCGGCACAACACCCACAGCCACGTACGGCTCGACCTACCTGATGATGACCTTACGCCTCTCCTTCCCTGTCTCAGCAAGGCGAGTTTTATGACGCAGAGTTAGCACATAGCTCAAGTAATGCACTAAAGCGGGGGAAGAGCGCGGGGAAAGGCGACACCGAGATGTGAGATCAGCTTGGGGGAAGGGGTTGGGGACAAACCCCACGATCACCGACAGAGTCATATACCCGTGGTGGCTGCCGGGGCAAGGTTGTAGCCTGCTTGATACCGAACATAATACACACGCTGCAGTGGCGACCTGACGACTAACGAATTTCTTTCCCAATGCTCGCCGTAGGCCTGTAAAATGTCCGTCTTCTTCATAGCCAACGAGATATAGGGGGCTCCGGACGACTCGAAAAGTCCAAGGATCTTGTGTGCGGCATCCCAGAGCTGGTGCGGTAGTCCATGTGAGTACAGACTTGCTCAGAAGATGAACGCCATGCCGTGGGGAAGTCCAAAACCAAGCCATGGATCAGAACGTCTGTGACCACTACTGAAAGAGCGACAGAGTACATTAGGATATATATGTGACCCACAATCTTTGACCGGTCAGTCACCGCTATTCGGCGAACTCGCTAGTTGCCTGTTGTTTGCCTCGTTTCAGTATACTATAGTATGCCTCCGCAGTTATGCTCTCAGGCAAACGTGCCCCTACCAGGAATCGAACCGAACGCATCGAAGGATGATGGTATGTGTGAGCTCTTGACCGTGGAAGACTCTAACTTCCTTAAGGTATTCTTATCAACCTTCCATTCAAACGCCTATTCACAACTTGCTGGGCCTTAATGTCATGCGTTAACGGGCGAAAAAAGAGAGCGACCGACGACGTTAAGGAGAAAGGGCATGATCAGACAACATCGCAGCCCTGGCGATGTGACTCATCCCAAATCGAAAAGGATCGAGGTATCGCGTCTCGCTTCCCTACCTGTGCTGCGGTATACAATACTATGACGAGTCCCTACTAGGTGACCACTTCATGCACCACTACTCGTCTGAAGACCGCGTCGAAAAGTGTACTCCATCTCTGTGGTTTAAGAATCCACGTAAGCAGGCAATCGATGCTCTTCTTCGGACAGACGCTGAAGCGGAGGGAGCAATGGCGCAACCACCACCTGAGCCATATGCAGGGTCCCAATTGCGCGCCTGAGATGGCTTAGTGCAGATGACAAATTCAAGATCCGAAAACCCTGGTACGACGCCATCCAGGTCGCCGACAACTGCGAGCAAGATTTAAGGATTTGTTGGGTCGACAAGGCAAAGGAGCCGGGCATTACCTTGATGAACTACATTGCTTTTTGGAGCATGGATCCTTATTGGGGCATGAATCCATCATACTCCAGTTTGTCATAGCATTTCAGAGTTTTGCTCCTTAAGAGCTGCTGATATACGTCGTTGTCTTTAGCTCACTCGTCATAGCGTTTATCTTCCCTCTACATGGATTATCGAACAAGCTCCAAAACCTAAGCCGCTTTGTTTACAGGTGGTTGCAGACGTTTGGTGTCACAATTGTGCGACGACAAAATGATATTGGATCTTTTTAGGTCTCTGACAAAACCAAAGCCAGGGCATTGCAGGGCACATGGGCATAAGGGCTGACGATATTATGTTACTCGTCGTCCATCGACATCGAGTAGGGACTAGACCGAGGACAAGGTAGACTCATCCGATGGGAGGCCAGTGAGCTGGCGTCCCGCGATCGAGTAGCGATAACTGACCGGTCAAATACTTGCAACTCATTCTCGACAACAGCGGATAGTCTCATTGAACCTAGTTAGTGGCTTTATGCACAGCGAAGGATAAATTAAATATCACTGCACCTTATCCGTGCTTCATGGCCACTTGTTATTATTAACCAGGGATCTTCGAAATAGATTGGTATGTCAATGGATGAACGTTGCCGGGTGCGTGGCCTAACCTGTCATGAGGACGCCAGTCACATCATTATATTCGTGACGTGCTCGAAAGCTGACTGGGAGTTCGACATTGGTTCTAATGCAAGCCTGGGGGGGCCACTAGCAAAGTACCTCCATCGTATAGGCAACATCAAGGAACAGCCTGTAGGGGTGGATGCTACAGGTGAGGAGCTAACTTAATCTACGAGTGGAACGAGCCAGTGGCCCCCCCAGGCTTGCATTAGAACCAATGTCGAACTCCCAGTCAGCTTTCGAGCACGCTCTGGACCAGGAGGAGAACATCGACTCCCCAGGGCCCTCACAGGGACTTCCTTTTGATCCTTCATACGACTGTTGGCCCGCCAGAGCAATGCATGAACGAGGCGTTGGTATTCCTTTACTGTTTGAATCATGGCTGGGGTGCTAAGAATCATGCAGAGCCCCTGAATTCTTTCAAGCGATTGACATGCCCACCCCGTGGTTTCTCTTGGCAGCCGTCTGTCTCTCGCACGGTCGTTTGGAATACACAAGAGCGATAACGGCACACAAGCCGCAAAGTTTTTGCATTGACGTCTGGTTTGGCTCGTGTCTCAGCGACTCCTCGTAATCACCTAAGCGCCGCTTACACCGAATCACTAAGACGGGCGGGACAGAACGGACGCTAGGATAGCATAGAACCCACGCAGTATTCAATCTATATGGGTCGAGGAATCGTTCGTGCTAGGGTTATGGTACGGGTGCATACCCACATCACGCGAAGTCTTGCGTGTAAAGGTAATAACGGCCCGCACATCAAACTCGCCGACCTCTGCTCCCAGTCGCTTAGCATCATCCTCTACAGCCATGGCTTCTACAATGCTTACTTGTGAATCACGATAAGGGACAGGGGTACTGGAGCTATGTGCGGAGTCGGCACACCACCCGGGTCTGAGGTGCCTGTGACCGATGAGGGTGATGCCCGCACTACTTCGTGTCTTTTTCATGATAACTCCGTAAAAGTGACACAATAAATCGTGAGTGTGATCTTTATAAGCAGCTGCATTGCGGCCTGCAAAGTTGGTAGGGTTGTCATGGCCAGCCACCAGTGAAGATACATCCCGATCAATTAGAACTCTTCTCGGAACCTGACCCACCAGTCGCTTGCGCACTGTACAACAACAAATGGATGTGGATCCATTCACGGAAGGCCTGTGCCGCTTCCGAGCCCGAACACATAACTCTCCATAACTCGCTACGGCTGAGCAAAAAGAGCGCAATGCGTGTATGCAGAGAACGATCGATCAAGAGGGCTTCTGTCTGACCGGTCGCAGCAAGTCACACATGAATCCTTGATACACAACCCCTTCTGAGCACTCACCCCTTGTCATAAGTCGATTTAATCCTGCTTAATCGTACTCACCTGCTCCTGGGCGAAAAATACTTGCTGCTCAAAAAATGTCAATTTTGAACTCCAACCATACCTAAAATGAGCAAGTTCATCCATCCCGAAGCCACAATTCGTCGTTTGCCTAGAACCTGACTCTCTTGGCATTCGCATGTCGCGCTATGTCTCCCCCACCCAAATTTACGTGAGACGGACATATTCTGGCATTTTGTCGTATACTCGTCGCCAACGCGTTGCTGTTACCGATTACACGTATTCGGTAGATTATTGAGGCTATCTAGTAGTTAGTATACCTATTATATAATATATTTCTGGTGTTTTCGACTCATAGTCGCGTATAGTGGGCCTACCTAGTAAGGCGTACGACGCGAGTACCTATCGCCGAATTGACTTCCTCCTTGAGCACGACGTGCCCTCTACTATTACCGCAGAGAAGTCTTAAGTATCTATCTCGACAGTCAATCGTGTGAGGTATAATCTTACTACGTATGGCCAGCGAAATAAGCCTCTATCCGCGAAGACGAGTGGTCGTAAGACTATCCTTAGTGATCGCGTAATGGGATTACTATTCGAGCACCTACTCCAGGAGGGATGGCTATACCTTGATGAGATAGTAAAATGGGTATATGAAGAGCTCGAGATAGTAACCTCACCATCTACTATCTTAAAGCAGCTGAAGAAGAGAGGGTGGACTAGGAGTCTACTATAGCGTATTTATTCCTAACGCTCTAAGGTTACGCGTCGTTCCTATCGTGAGGATATTGCTCGGCTACCTACTGATCGCCTTGTATTCATTAATGAGGTTATCTTTAACGAGAAAACGGGATAGAGGAGACGAGGTAGAGCTCCTCGTGGAGAGACTCCTAGGTAATTTACGAGGATCAATCGAGGCCCTACGTATAGCGTATATGGTGCTATCTCCGTTGATGGCTTCGTTACCTATAGTATTAAGAAAGGTTACTATAATAAGCAAGAGTTCATCGACTGGCTAGAGGTATACCTATTCCCTAGCCTATAAGAGAAGTACCCTAATTAGGCTATGGTTATCATCATAGATAATCTCTCTCTTCATACCGACGACGACGTTACTCCTATGGTTGCTGCAGCTGGTCATACTCTTCGATATACACCGCCTTACTCACCTAATTATAATCCTATTGAGTTAGTATGGGCAGTCCTAAAGGCGTGGATTCGAAGGTAGTACCTATTTATACGTGAGCAGTCATACAACTTCGAGGAGTTCTTACACCGCGCCTTTAAGGATAGCTGCTACGATCAGTTCGCTCTCCGCTTCTTTAAGCATGCGGCTAACGGTTGGTATATTGATGAAACGCTACGAGAGCGTATTATCGCGGATTTGAAGCAGTTTGAGCGTGGTAGAAGGTGTGGTTTTGCGGCAGAAGTGAGGGATATTAGTCAACTTTTTATAGTACTCTTCACTGACTAACGTCACGTCGTTCTCGCTTATATTCATAGGGAGGAGGTATACTCATTTATATATATACGTATTTAATATGAACTTCGCAGCATCTCTACTTAAAAACCTTATATAGCCCTAGAAGCGAGTCCATGGAGTGCCTTCGCTGCTTCCTCCTGCTCTACTACCTTAAGATTACCCTTATACTCATGAAGATAGCGACGAGCATCCAATACTATGCTTAATAGGACGCCATACGCCTTCGCTGCGTAGTGATGAGTAGTTCCAGGACGAGTAATCTCTTTAACCTGCCTATACTAATAACAGTTATCAACTACGTACTCGCGGAGTAACCTAATCCCGTCCTTCGTCCTCGTATGAGTTTCCTTCGCATATCGCCATTTGAGTACTAACTGAACCACGTCAGCCTAATGAAGTTCTAGTTGAGTAGGGCTACTATATGGTGCTGGATTTGTCGTCTCTAGCGGCGTCGATAGACGAGGGCGCTGACTCTCAACCTCACGAGTCGGCGACGGTGACGTATATGGCGGTGGAATACCTGGTGGATATAGAGGCACACGTGAGGCGAATATAGGATTGAATCTAGCCTGTTAAAGTTGAGCCTGCCTCATCTGCTCATCAAAACGTTGACGCTTAGCCCTTTCCTCATCCTTTGCTCTTCTATCTTCTTGACGGTACTGAAGCTCATCAATCGCTACTTAAACCTTCTGAGTCTGGAGTTGCTTAGTAAGGGTGGCGAGGTCGACTTGTCTAGATATACCTGACTTCTTTGCTGACTTTCTCTCATAGGGTTTGGATACGAGTTGCTTCATTACACCCACAGGAGGATCCTCAACGGAGGCTCCAGCAATACCAGTAGTAATAGCATGTGCCCATGGCTCTGTCGACGCGCGTTCAATCTTGTAATAAAGACGACCAGATGAGGATGGGACGATAAAACAGTGGCCTCGCTTATTAGTACAACTAACGTCCGTACAACGGTAAGTTAACTCTATTGTACTAATTATCTCGATCCGTTTTAGGCCAGCTTCCTTCCTCTGCTGAGCCTCGTTATATATAATCGCGGCACGCCCTCTTAATGGAGTCTCTATATTCGGCGAACTTCGAAGTCCTGTACCTAGCGATGGTGTAGGAGAGTCACGGTGACGAGTACGTTGAGGTTACTAAAGAGGTTTCTTACCCTAGGACTCGCACTTCACGCTATCCTCAAAGGTAATTATAATAACCTCATCCTTCGTATTGGCGAGCGAGTGGATCTCGTCTATGACTATATAGACTCTCTCCCAGCTAATAATCGACTAGTCATTGATAGCGAGAGTCCTCCGCTGTTTCTTCCTTATACCAAGGCTATATACTACCTGGCGAGTATTAAAGGCCCAGTCGTTAGTACTGAGTCTCGTACTAATCAAGTCGTTGATTGTACTCTCGTACACCTCACGTTCAAACGCACATCGCGGAACAGTAGTAAGTTCATCTGCCGCCTCGTTCTTTCTATTAACACGTAATCTCTAGGACACGTGGATCTTGTACGTCTCCTCTTCATCCTCTATAACCTCATCCTATTCGCTATCTACAGGATCCATAGGAGGAGGAGGAGGAGGAGGAGGAGGAGGAGGAGGAGGAGGAGGGGATGGGGACGAGGAGACAGATGGAGGAGCAGGTATAGCCTTAGGAGGCGCCGAAATGTCGACAACACGTGGTTTTTTCGGCGCCGCGGTACGTTTACGAGCTTGTTTCTTCGCCATTGCCCTCGCAGCAGCAGCCTCTACTAATTTAGTAATAGATTTACGCTGACGAGGAGGAGGAGGAGGAGGAGGTTCGACTAACGCGTCTGTCGTGAACTAAACGCTTCGAGCGGGTTTTTTCGACCTAGAGGAGGGCATATAGGTAAAAAAAATACGTGGAGACTCAACACTAAGTATATTGACTAATATTCGATAGTATACGTATATTTAGACCTCATGTGGCGACGAGTATACGACAAAATGCCAGAATATGTCCGTCTCACGTAAATTTGGGTGGGGGAGACATAGCGCGACATGCGAATGCCAAGAGAGTCAGGTTCTAGGCAAACGACGAATCCCTTAGCTCCACGCCGTCTTATAGTCCTCCACTCGGGTTTCAACCTGGAGGTGAGATGAAATTTCAAACAGTCGATTGAATATGGGGGTATTGGAGGTCAGAAAGGTCAAAAAACGATTCAAATCCCCTAAAACACCTGATCGTGGTTTTAGAGGT